CCGTGTTCTTCCTGCTCAGCGCCAGCATCATCCCCAATGGCTTCAACGGGATGTCAGTCGTGTTCCTGGCTGGGACCCCGGAGCACCGTTGCCTGATTCCGGACACCGTGAACCTGAGCAGCGCGTGGCGCAATCACAGTATCCCGTTAGTGGAGAAGGACGGACGCCAGGTGCCCCACAGCTGCCGCCGCTACCGACTGGCCTCTGTCGCCAACTTCTCCGCGCTGGGGCTGGAGCCAGGCCTGGACGTGGACCTGGAGCAGCTGGAGCAGGAGAGCTGCCTGGATGGCTGGGAGTACAGCCGGGACGTCTACCTGTCCACCATCGTGACCGAGGTAGGTGGCAGCTCCCTGCTGGAGCCGGACAGTGGGAATGGAGACCCTCCATTTGCGTCAGTCCCCATGACACTCTGGCAATGCCTAGGTCAGGGCCCCACTCGGCCTCAAACCTGCCTTGCACAGGGCACAGGACCGGGTATGTGAGAGCGTTTCTCAGTGCCGACTCATTCTGCTATGGAGGGGATGGAAAAGGGAGTGTGGTCACCAACTGCCTTTTCCTTTCTGGGTTTCACAACAGGTATTATTTCCTAAGAGCCTAGATGCTGTCCTGGGCAAGGCAAAGCTAGGCTGTCCTGATTTACAGTCAGAAGCATTTCCCTGCCAAAGAAGAGAATATGGTGGTCTGCCCATCCCAACTGCAGACAGGGAAGAGGCTTGAGACGCAGGGAAGGGCCCTTATTCTGAGGCCCCAGTTTCTCCAAAAGGAAGCAGGAGCCCCCTTGACCTGGTTGGATGCAAGGAGCCACAAGGTAGAGCCTGGCTTTGAGGCACTGGTGGAGAGAGAACCATCAAAAGTCTCAGAGCACAGTGTCAACTGGTGGGTGTAGCCTCCAGCTTGTGCCACTCATTTGTAAGTCGGGAAGCATGAGGGACTACGAGGAGGTGACCGCCTTCCTGGGCGAGTGGGGCCCCTTCCAGTGCACCGTGTTCTTCCTGCTCAGCGCCAGCATCATCCCCAATGGCTTCAACGGGATGTCAGTCGTGTTCCTGGCTGGGACCCCGGAGCACCGTTGCCTGATTCCGGACACCGTGAACCTGAGCAGCGCGTGGCGCAATCACAGTATCCCGTTAGTGGAGAAGGACGGACGCCAGGTGCCCCACAGCTGCCGCCGCTACCGACTGGCCGCCGTCGCCAACTTCTCGGCGCTGGGGCTGGAGCCAGGCCTGGACGTGGACCTGGAGCAGCTGGAGCAGGAGAGCTGCCTGGATGGCTGGGAGTACAGCCGGGACGTCTACCTGTCCACCATCGTGACCGAGGTAGGTGGCAGCTCCCTGCTGGAGCCGGACAGTGGGAATGGAGACCCTCCATTTGCGTCAGTCCCCATGACACTCTGGCAATGCCTAGGTCAGGGCCCCACTCGGCCTCAAACCTGCCTTGCACAGGGCACAGGACCGGGTATGTGAGAGCGTTTCTCAGTGCCGACTCATTCTGCTATGGAGGGGATGGAAAAGGGAGTGTGGTCACCAACTGCCTTTTCCTTTCTGGGTTTCACAACAGGTATTATTTCCTAAGAGCCTAGATGCTGTCCTGGGCAAGGCAAAGCTAGGCTGTCCTGATTTACAGTCAGAAGCATTTCCCTGCCAAAGAAGAGAATGTGGTGGTCTGCCCATCCCAACTGCAGACAGGGAAGAGGCTTGAGACGCAGGGAAGGGCCCTTATTCTGAGGCCCCAGTTTCTCCAAAAGGAAGCAGGAGCCCCCTTGACCTGGTTGGATGCAAGGAGCCACAAGGTAGAACCTGGCTTTGAGGCACTGGTGGAGAGAGAACCATCAAAAGTCTCAGAGAACAGTGTCAACTGGTGGGTGTAGCCTCCAGCTTGTGCCACTCATTTGTAAGTGATCTGGGAACAGGTTTTGTAAGTTCTCAGGATCTCTCATCTGTACCATCCCAGCCCCTAATGTTTCATGCTGCAGCACTGGCAAGGACCAGCTGATACTAAGTTAAGAAGGCACACACTCTGGGAAGAGCATCCTCCAGGACTAATTTCCTGTTGTTGATCAGGCCCACAAGATTTCCCTGCTTCCAGCCCCTCCTCTACTTTATGTTCCTCCCAAGAAAAAAGTAACGGAGGCCTCTGCTAGTTCTTTATCTAGCTCCCTCAGCACAATGTGGCGGTCACTAGAAAATGTGCCTGACCCTAGGGTGTAGACAGCTGGGGCGTGGGTCCTGCCCTAACACTCAGGTGCTTGTGGGTACACGCGCAGGGTTGCAGAGAGGGTTAACATCAACACTGCTTAGCAACCAGCTTGAGTCAGAATTAAAATCATAGCTTTTTCTCTGTGTGACCTTTGGTAAATAAAATTACCCCCTCTTTGTAGAATAACAAGATCAGGAAACACTCCAAGAAGGAGTGGTAAAATGTGAAGTGAATCTGGAAACATAAGATCCTGTTCAAGCAAAGAATGTGTGGGATTATGGGGCTGGGAGTCCTGTAGATCAGGGTAAGTGGAGCTCAAGGCATGATAGAAACACCTACCAGGACAGCTCATCCACACAATTTAGAGTTGACTATATTTTGGGGACAGCAAGGCCAGATCTATGCTTTTATTTTCTTACTTTGAGATGGAGTTTTGCTGTGTAGTCCAAGCTGGCTTTGAATTCACCAAAATCTTCCTGCCTCTGCCTCTTGAATACAGGAATTAAACACATGCACCATCACACCTCCCTGGCCAGATCCTGCAACAGAATGGCCAGTCAGGGATGGTACTGTGGAGAATTCAGGGCCTACCAAAAGCAGCTGAGCTCATGGCCCCATGGATTTCTCAGTATTAGCACCTTGCCCGCCTTGGGCCCTCAGGTGGCTATGCTTCTCCAGCTCTGATCCTTTAGTAAGGGCTCCTGATTATTACTGTGTCAACAGCCTGGCTCTGGGGTGTCTAAGACTGGGAGCCAGCTCATCTCCCTTCAATTCTGGAAGTATTTCCTGCACCTTAGATGGGGGCTGGTCCACTGGCTACAGCCTTCCCTGACAGCTGGGATAACCCACTGGGCTCCCTCCTCCTGGTTGGTTTTGTTTGTCTACAGATATGAAGGGTAGGGGGCTGGAGAGATGGCTCACAGGGTAAGAGCACTGGCTGTTCTTACAGCAGACCTGGGTTCAATTCCCAACACCCATGTACCAGCTAACAACAGTCTGTAAGTTCGGCTCCAGGGGATCTGTTGCCCTCTCTGACCTCCTCTGGCATTGCATGACACGGGTGCAACTTAAACACAGGCTCACAGGGTAAGAGCACTGGCTGCTCTTACAGCAGACCTGGGTTCAATTCCCAACACCCATGTGCCCAGCTAACAACAGTCTGTAAGTTCGGCTCCAGGGGATCTGATGCCCTCTCTGACCTCCTCTGGCATTGCATGACACGGGTGCAACTTAAACACATGCAGCCAATATACACATACACATAAAATAAAAATAAAATGTTTTTTTTAAAAAGATATGAAGGTTGAATAACTACTGGCTCTCAAGTCACAGCTGCACATGCACAACGTGATTTGCTTCATTCAGCAGTCTCTCTCTCTCTCTTTCTCTCTCTCTCTCTCTCTCTCTCTCTCTCTC